GAGAAAGTTCAAGAAACTTCTTCTTCAGATCCATATAGTTCTCCTGAGTTTGCAAAACAAGAGCTCGTTCCTTCTGAAAAGTTGAACGCTTTGCGGATAGTGGCTTTTCCAGTAACAAAAGACCAGCCTAAACGAACCTCCAAAGCTTCGTTGAGCTCCTCAAGCTGCACATATTGTGCTATCTCAGGAGATTCTTTTACTGCAGGTCGAGGTGACGTATTCATGAGTTACAGGAACTCCCTAAAGTATGACTATACTAATCAAAAATAGCTTACTGCAAAGTAATTTAAGGGAGTTTAGAAGGGAATAAACAGAATAGCAGGTTTCGTCTGTAAAGGGCATAACGCTGACACTAGAAAAGGAGCAGGTGCAGTGGATCGATAGATGGCTGGCAGACCTTCGTAAAGGTGAGGTGGCAAGGTGCACCTTCGGGTTGTTAAGCTTGCATAAAATATGCCCCATCGCATATTTGGTGACGCAGGTACTCAGTTCCTCTCATTTTATTGTATAATCTAAGGTAGTTTTATAAGAATCTTTGTATTTTATGTACCGTATACATAATTTACAGTGCCAGTCGAACTGTTCCGATCTAAACCAGCTACCGTACAATACATTACTCTGATATGTATTAAAATGATTTCTGCTTCTGATGTTGCTATTTTGGTGATGAACGAATTATTTTTATGGGGAAAACTTCTACTCTTCTAAGCAGACACAGATTACTATCCGAAGGGCCCTCTAACAACGCCCATATGATTCCATAGATGCGGGCCACCCTTTCTGGAACAGCCACCCGCTCCCTTTAAAGCCTGAAATAGGATTGTTTTCAAATTCCCTTCGGCATATACCTTTTATCTTCATGTTGACTTACTCTAACTGTTGAGTAGTAGTTTCAATCTCTCTCTCTCCCTCTCTTTCATCTCACCCCTCGCATGTCCTACTGCTGCGTGAGGTATCTACCTGCTGTGTTTTCTGCAGATGTTCTTGATCTGAAGTACCCTAAAATTCCATAGATAAGAGCGGGTGAACCTACCGGTGAAAAATGAATTGGAAAAAATCGAAATTGAATGCAGTCACCACTCTAACTTGATGGATGGATAAATTAAACTTCGAAGAAGAAGTTAAGAAGAAGCTCCGCCCCTCAACTCCAAACCCCGTCCACTTAATAAACAATTCATATAGAAAAATAGCGATTTTTGCGGATCCGCCCGCTCTTATCTATGGAATTTTAGGGTAATGCTGATTTGTTTATTGCGCTCCGAGTTGAAGAATAAACTATTTAATTAACCGAGTTCGAGGGGAAAGTACTTTTCAAGCTGAACCTTGAAGGCTGAACGATCGTTTCCGATGTGCACATGAAAGACCTGCCCTCGTTGATGCTTGATCAGTTCCTCTCGCAACATCAAGTTTATATGATGGGTTCCTGAGACACCATCTATGGGGAAAAAGAAAAGACAATAGTGACGCTGACAGAGTTCATCCTAGCATAAGTGTTGTTGTTGCTGTTTGGAGAATCCCGAAACGGTTGCATCGAAAACGTCGACTGATTTTGGAGATAATCATTTTCAAATTTTCTTGTTTGCTTTTCGTTTAGCCTTAATGTAGTGCACATCAATGCTGAGATTTATCGACACTTCTATATTTATGTATGAATCCTGAATGGCTGACAAACCGCACGTAATCTCCCCCACAGTTAGCAAGCAGTAACTCAAAGGGTTCTTCCGCTTGCGCTCCAATGCTAAACCGCGCCCGAATAACACCTCAGGTTAAATTTGTTAAATTACTTCGGGCTAAGAAAACTCTCTTCTATCTCTGGTTTGCGGAATAGGCTTAAGTAGGTTTCTTAGGGTTCTCTTGGTCAGTGTCTTTTTCCGGCTCAGAAATCGTAGAAGGAAGCTCGCCAGATCGTCAAAAATAAGTGCAGCAGTCGTTAAAAATTGGAGATTTTAAGGTGTTCTATAACAACTTTATTGTTGACCTTTCATTGACCGATAAGCTTTTGAGCCCAAGCCATTGAGTATATTGGTTTTAATATCGAGGGAATTGTTGAGAATGAAGTCGTCTGTAGTATTTTTGAAGTAGTATGTATTATTATGCCCGACGTTCGATTGTTTTATTACTTTCGATTCAAGGTGCCACAATGGCAGCGCTTGGTGCTCGGTTGGAGAGAAAAAAGAAAATGAAGGGAAAGAAGAAGGTGAAAAATTTGTTGGATAAGAAGGCTAAAGGCTTGAAGTTAAATCAGGTCGACAGGAAGCGAATAATGAAGGTAAATGCTTTCACTTGATCTTATGCTTTGTCTCTCGAATTGATAGCCGTGTTTATTGTACCCTAATTGAGCCCTTGGAGCATCATTTCTTGAGTTGCCTTTCAGCTAGAAGAAAAAAAGAAGTTCAAAGACGAATTAAATGCAAGCGTGAAAGCTGAGATGAGTAAGTTACGGCTGACAGAGGATGAAAACGTTGATGAAACGATTAATATTGACCCGACATCACCTAGTCCACTTCCGGAAAAGACGAAGGATAAAAGGGTATCCAATGAATTGCTTGAGAAATGAATCTGACATGGCAACTATCATTATCGTTCGTTTAGGTATCATTCAGCGGAAATATGGAACGGGTGAAGGTGTTTGACAAGAATGTGAAAGATCTTAAAATTAAACCTTCATCAGCTTCACCAGGAAAAGGCATATTGCGAGCAATTCCGAAAAAAGTTTCGCCCAAGAAAAAGAAGAAGAAATCAGAAGTATATTTTCACTCATTTATAATTTTCTTTTATTTTTCGGTGTTATTCACAGTTCAGATGCAGACGACCGAGAGTGAAGTGCTCTCTGAAACTGCTCCTGCAATAGTCGATCCTAGTGCAGAAAAAGAAAATGTGGAGGAAAAAACCGAGAAGAAATTGGAAAAACCGAAGAAGAAGATCACAATACAGGTGCAGAGGTGTTATTGGAACTTTTACAAAGACTTGAAGTTGACGGTCCGTTTGAGGTGACGAAGAAGGTAAAGGAACAGCTGTTGACAATGGATAGGAAGCAGAGGAAAGCGTTCCTCCGGGAGCTAAAGGTGAGTTCGCAACCACTTTAAACTTCGACAGCTTTGATCTCTATCTTTAGGCCCAGAAAAACCCCAACCATGACCGTGCTATGGAGTGTAAGTTGTTGTGGGAAAAAATTAGAAGGTATGTAACTGTACTGGACATTTTTGTTAGAATGTCTTCTTCTCTGAACTCATGAAAGACGCTTTCAGTAAGAAGACTCCCAAACAAGAAAGGGATGAACATGTGTCGAAGCTTTTTGGACTTGTAAAGGTATACTCGTTTCGGTTTTTATCTGATTGGCCCTATTTCAAACGTTGCTTCAGGGTTTTGCTTCAAAATTGATCTACACTCATGATATTTCTCGAGTATTCGAATGTCTGCTAGCTCAGAAGAGGCCTGGTATTACATCAGCACGTGAGCGTTTGTTCCTCTCTTTTTCTAAATTACATTTATCATTTCGTTAACTTACCTTTTACAGTTTTTGAAGAACTTACACCTGAACTTGTTCGTATGACGAAGAGTAAGTACGCTCACTTCTTCGTACTACGCATGTTGAAATACGGGTAAGTAAAGTTACATACAATTTCTAATATCTTCAACTTTTGCCTCCGCTTTGAAACAAAATTTGTTTGCTTTCAAGAACAAAAGACCAACGAGATACGATAATCAACTCATTTCGTGGTCATGCAGTGTCGCTCATGAGGATTGTCTATGCTGCTGAGGTATTTCATCAGTGCAGTAGCGTATATTACCTCGAAACAGACCCCCTTATTACCCCATACCTGTTTGTTTCAGGTACTTGAAGTTGCCTACAATGAATATGCTAACGCGCAACAACGCTTCGATATCGTCTCTGAGTTCTATGGCAAAGAATTTGTTCTGTTCAGGGTAAAGCAGAATTCATACATTCTGTCTCCTTGGAAATATATGTTGAAGTAAATGTGTATTTATAGTCAGATAAGCCGCGCAGCCTCGAAGAGATCATAGCCGAAGAGCCCACAAAGAAAAAGTTGATCCTTCAGCATCTTGAGGAGCAGCTTCAGACACTAGTTGATAAGTAAGTCAATTCGAATACAATTTTCAGTGATGTTCAAACCTTTTCATGAGCTATGTCATTTTCAAGGACAACAGTGCGCCTCTCACTTTGTCATCGGCTCTTGAGAGATTTCGCTAGTCATTGCGATCCTGAGCAGCTTACGAATTTGATTGACTCACTCAAGGATAGAATTCCCGAAATAGTTCATACTCCGGATGGATCCTGTGTTGCTATGAAGTGTATTTGGAATGCCAACGTGAAGGATAGAAAGGTGCGCATGACATTTTTCATTCCCATTCCTTATTTATTGACAGTGTTTACTTTTGTTACTGGATTTGGATTTTGATTACTGAACAAGTTCGTATTG